TATCAGGCCTTCAAAAACTAATTCGAGTGAAATCTCGAAATTCCCCTCATTTTTAAAACTTTTGCAAGAGATATCATTTGCATGTTTTTGATGTGGACATTAGCAGTTTCAGGCATATCCCTGAGATATTATTTGAACATCATCACTCGTTCGAAAATGTCTCAACGAGATATCTTTTGCACATTCAAAGTCTCTGTGAGATATCTTCAAGACATCTTAAATACATCATTGTGCCGTCTGGGCTGTATCGAAAGATCAGACGATGTCCACGTACGTTCTCCGGTATTTAAGATACTCCAGCTTGAGTTAACAATTGCCTGTTCGAGTTTTTTCCCTTCATTGTTATAATGCGTGGGGGAGTTGCTCCACAACGGGCTTTTCCCATTGAAGTCACCGCAAATTATGGATGGCTCATACTTCGAGCAGATTTGGAGAAATGAAGTCCAGAAATTAACATCAGTGTAATTGCGAGATTACCGAGGAGGGCTATAAACAGAGAAAATATGTAAGAATTTGCTATTAGGCAGATGTGCCTTGGTTGCAATTATTTCAACTTGGTTGTTTTGGCAAATATCTATAATATCATTGTCACGTAATAATTGGAATTTGATGTGCTTTGCTACTACAATTGCTACTCCTCCACCTTGACGGTTTCGGTCGGTCGAAACGATTTCATGGTTTGGAAAGGTAACTAATGACCTATGGTCTAGATGAGTTTCGCAAAGGGCCGCAATTTGAACATTACCCTCTTGAATTAAATGCTTGAATATATCTAACCTGCGAGGCAAGGAACGGCAGTTCCATTGCATAATGTTCAAGCTTTTCGTAGGAGCCATCTTTTTCGTACGGCAACCAAACAAAGAGAACAGATAAGGGCAAGAGGGATTTAGGTTATAAAGACACAATCAGCGTAACTTTATGTATTACAGAATAACAGAATTGGTAATTGTTTCTACAGCTAATTTTAAGACTGTTTCAAGCTCTGAGTCAGAAAGGTTGATAATTTGTTTACTCATGAGAGTATTGCGGAGATGTGGTACTAGATTTTTTAATGGAAGAGAAGGTGTTTCTATACTTCTAGAAGAATCTCTGAAATTTGTATGAATTCCGGAGTGTGGTTTACTTTTGTTTTTTGTGTCTTTATTACCGGTAGGATTTGCCGCTGAGGAGCCACAAAATGTACCACAAGGAGTACCTAAAGACAAGGAGTGAGCGGGCGTCGCAGACTCCGAGTGAGTCACCTGCCCCTTGCGCACAGTCGACCGAGCAGCCGCGGTAGCTAACACAGCATTGCTGGGGGGCAGTGCCTCGCTGTCAGCCTCTCGACGGTCGGGCGGACGATCAAGATCCGGCCTACGCCCATCTCCCCTTGGCCCTGACAAAGCAGTAAACTTGAAAACCTCACCTGGAATGTACTCGCCGAAAGTCGGCAAAGGAACTGACGGGGTCTTGTTCCAAGCGGTGACAGATTCACCTCCTCTATCGAAGAGCACGGACGCCTCTCTAAACGAAAGGTCCTTTGTCGCCATCAACTTGTGTATATCTCTTTGCCTTACATAAGCGTGACACTTTGAGTCAGAGGCTTGATGTTTGTAATCCTTGTGTTTGATTCTAATGCAATTAATGCATTCAAATACGTCACTTAAGCAGTCTGACTTGGAGTGTCCTGATTTTCCGCAGCGTTCGCAGAACTGTTTATCAGAAGAGGTTTGTTTGCACGAGGAAGCTGTATGTCCTAGGCGCTGACAGAAACTGCAGCGCCGGACCTTATATACATATGGGTGTAGGAAAAACCTTTTACCCATATATATGCACGATGTGGGTACAATTTTGGTCCTGAAACGTAAGAGAAAGCTGTTAGTGTTGACCAGGACTGGTGGTGAGTCGTCACCACTGTTTACCCTGCGTTGAAGTCTTACAGCCTCAAACGGTGGGATCCATGAGGACCCTCACCCCGGAGGCGGCCTAATGTTGGAAAGTACGTCCTCCACGGTGTCATCATCATTCACCCCCCTGAGAAGGCACTGTTTAACGACTTTGAAACTTGGAACGTAAGCAAGCCAGTAACCGGAGGGTGTAATATTTTCGCACACGGTAGGAAAGAGATCTATGAACTTATTTGCCTCCTTCCAGGAGGAGAATATCACCGAAAACTTATTTTTCCCGATTGACTTCAGGTCATACGCGTTTTTAAAAGGTTCGTATAATAGTTTGTTGAGTCTTTTCCCAATGCCTAGAACACTCAATGCACTGGTCGACGGTTTGTTACTATTTGAGTCTGGTTTTCCAGGCCCAGTGGTATCTCCAAGATAGACGCAATCTATGTGAACGAGATACGGTCCCGTCGATTCTGGTTGATATCTATTTAGAGCGAGAGCCCTCTGAGTTTCTGTTATCGGGGAGTAAGCCTTTTTGGAGAAATCGAATCTTCTACTACATGTCTTTTCTTAGCGCGACCGAAGGAGGGGAAGTCTCACCGGAAGGGCGAGGTACCTGAGAATCACCCCCCACAGGGCTTTTATAGGTTAACCCACCCGCAGCGCCCCGGGAATCCCCAACAGTCCCGGGATCGAGGTTCGGCGGCGCCGACACATCGGCCATCTCCACCTCTACGTTAGAAGTGGTTTTTGGCATACTAAAGGCCACAGTACTTAGTCTGGACCCATATAAGTCAGTAACTAGAGAGTATAATATTTGGCGGGAAACCGCCGAGCGAGGTTACACCCAACTCAAGACCATAAAGTGTCTATAAGCAGGATATATCTATCCGCGGGTAGCAGAAAGGGTGCTATACTTACAGAGCAAGCTATAAATCACCCGAAAAGCAGTCAGGAATAGGATAAAAGAGAGGAATTGCAAGTTAAGCGCTCTGTCGATGCAGCACGTCCGCAGTCTCAGGCACGAATCAAGTGAATCTCTATCGCTATCGCTATTCCTTCCATTGTGCAAGGGGTTTTATGAATATATAAACTCTTTAAAACTGGTGTTATTTCTATCGCTATCACTATTCCGTCCATTGTGCAAGGCCTGTTCTACAATACAATCGTAAGCCGTAAGTCGTAAGAAATTGACCAATCACAATCGATTATTCTTCTGTGATTTATCTGTGATTGGTCAATTTCTTACGACTTACAGTTTACGACTGTATTGTAGAACAGGCCCAAGAGGCTTAGGCCCATTCTACAATAAGATATTAGTTTAGTAGTAAGCTGTAAGTCGTAAGAAATGAACCAATCACAATCGATTATTCTTCTGTAATTTGTCTGTGATTGGTTCATTTCTTACGACATACAGCTTACGACTAAACTAATATCTTATTGTAGAATGAGCCTTATGGTTATTTCTCGCTATCGCTATTCCTTCCATTGTGCAAGGGGCTTTAGTATTACATATATGGCCACCCCCACAAGTGCACCAAACCAAACCAATCGGTTGGATGTGCGTAGTTACGCTGTGAATATTTTTGGACAATTATCGGTGTTTTACACCACTTTCTTTATTATTATCTTTAATTTAAACAACTATACAACTCCGTGGCTTGGCGTCAGGAACCCAATCCACGGTCTTAAACCTGTTATCAAAAAGACATAGAACGGCGTATGGACTAGCTTTATAGGTCCACTGAGTCAAAAGAGCACCAGACCAAACCAAACCAAACCAAACTAAATCAAATCACTTTTTTATTATTGTTGATAAAATTACCTGGAAACGAAATGGAAAATTATACAAAATGCGAAGATACTGAGGTGAACAATGCATCTTTAGCAAATAGTCAAGTGAATCAAGCTTCTTGTGAAACAAAATCTGTGGTGGATAATAATAAGAATACGCAAATTCGTGTTGTTCGAGGTACTAAGAAACTTAAAATCGACAATGATTTTGTCAACATCGAGAAGAAAGGTATGTCATATAAATATAAAGGTGTTATCTCTCTCGATTATGAATTAAAAAATCTATTATTTCTAATGTAGATGTAAAAGATGAGGATGCAACAGAAGCTAAAGTAAAATCTTTGAAACGGTCCTGCGAACTATGGTCTCTGGAAGATAAAAATACTTTCTTCAAAGCACTTAATGAATACGGTAAAGATTTCGATGCTCTGCAGAGTTATTTCTTGAGTCAAGGCAAGAAGCGTGGTCTTCCAGATGCTGTGATAAAGAACAAGGAACAAATTCGACACTTTTATTACAGAACCTGGCTGAAAATATCAAAGCACTTAAAGTTCTCTGAAGGTGTTGAAATGTTTGTCATATATAGTATCAATGTAATATATGTAATATATGTTGTGATAATGTTTATACACAGATGTTAAGAAGACCACTCAAGAATTGTATGGGTTGATAAATTATGGAGAACTGAGAAGAAAATTGCCTCGAATTCATGAGAAAGTTCATTTAAGATTAAATGAATTAGTATATTGGGGATCTACACAAGTCAGGTTAAAGGGAAAAACTATTAGGATTAAAACACCAATATGTAGAACACTTAGAAAGTTGAATCAACTAGAAGGTATACAAAATTTTAATATATTTACAAATCACGTATAAAGCAAATAAGTATTATATTGATTTTTGTTTTAGATTGGCAGGAAGAAATAAAATTACCCTCTAGAATTACTATAGAACTGAGACCACGTAATAACATGGCTTGGTGGCAAGTACAAGCAGTCTCTATGAATCCCAGAGTGCGTACACTTCTTCCCATGCAGAGACGTCTCTCAAGTTTATTAATTTTTCTACAACAACGATGGAGACTCACAAAGTACACCACAGTATCCTTGTATTGTTTAAGCATACAGTAATGATTGGATTTGTTTCCAAATGTACATTTTGAAAATACTGTGTAGAAATCCTTAAATATCATTTTCTATAGTGTTCTACTGAAAATTTTATTGCCAATGACATAAAAGATACTCGTTTATTACGAGTCGCTCCAGTAGAAGGCTGTAAAATTTCTTTGCCGATGATCAATCTTGGAGAATATCTTACTAGCAGTAGCGTTAGTTTGAACTCATATGAGAAACGTCTTGGTTTGAAAAGCTCGAAGTTAGACCTATTGGGATCCGTTCAGCACTTGAAAGGAGCTGGAAAAAAAGGAATTAAACGATCTAAATTGGATAAAAAACTTGTGAGCCGCGCCGATGAAAATTGTACACTACCAGATGGAAACAGTGATGTGGATCTTTTGGAAACAGGAAGCAACGTATCTGAAAAACTAGTAATGACAAATAACACAGAGAAACTTTTGCCGGAAAATACTTCAGAGCCTAACAGGTTTCCTGGTAGAGAAACTATTGAGAGAATTCGAAAAGGTTGGAACATCGAGGAAGCAAATACAATAACCGTTGGCGATCTTTTCTTAATGGTGTGTAACATATATTATTTATATATTATATTATATATATTACGCACACACATATACACATGGTGTCCGACAATAGCCGTACGTAATATTGTTCGTGGTCGAGTAAGAAAAGTTTATATTGAGTCGAAAAGTATTTTTACTACTTTGCAAACCTCTCAATAATTAACTTCTTTGGTACGGCGCACGTGCGCCGCGGAGCTTCACTGACAATTTTTTGTCGCATACAAGTTACATTTGGCATCGTCGACTAAAGTCAACGCTCGGTCGAGATACATTTAGCGACCGTCAACTATAGTCGATGATAGCACCGAAGTTTTAATTAAAGATCCGCGAATGAACATGCATCCACGTGCGTAAAACAGCTCAGTATTTCGTACGCTTATAGTTGACGCGCGCGTACAGAGGAGTGCACCATATCGTTCTGTTCCAGGAGAAGTATTTCTCGGAAATTTCTCCTCCGACTGTTCCTACTACCGCGCTCCGTTTTTCTTCAATCTCAAAGATCGGGCCGCTGGCGGAGATCGAAAAAGTACGGCGCGCGGTAGTAGAAGCAACCAGAAGAGAAATTTCAAAGAAAACCTTACCTTAGAGCGGAACGATACGGTGCATTCCTCTGTACTTTTTGACTCAATTGGTTTGTTCTTTTTTGCTGGTCACACTAGTTCAGAGTTTGTTTTTTCCTTCCATTTACAGTGAAAGAGATAAACTCTGAACTAGTGCAACTAGTTTATTGAAAAAGAACAAATATAACCTCTATCTGCTCACAAACGATTGTACGATTATTATTGTTATTATTGTTGTTGTTGTTGTTGTTGTTGTTGTTGTTGTTGTTGTTGTTATTGGACACTATCGAATTTGTTTTTAATTGATAAAATTATGTACATTTTTTTCTGTATAGAAATATTATGTTTTCTAATATTTTCCAAGTTTATATAACAGTTCGGCCGTGAATCAAAAATTACTTTGGAATATTGGTGGGATTGGGTACAAAATGAACAATATACATCCGATTCAGCGTCATCAAATATTGTGCGTGATGATAGTTTATGTTTGATTCTGCAAAAGTTATTGTCACTGGCAAAACATAATTACGGTACAAATAAGGTAAGATCAGACAAACACTTTACAAAAATATTTACTGATTTAATAATGTAGTTAAGATGTTTTAGAAAATAATTGTCAAATGTTTAGTGTAAAAAATATCTGTTAAGGTATACGACAACACCTCAGGAAGTAACGAAACGGTTATTTCATCTCGAGTTCCTTCTATCAAAGACTCTACATTCAGAAGACCTCTTATTCCACAAATATATCCCAAGATCAGCACAGCTGATGCATTTAAAACTCAACTTGATGTAAGTATTATAAGTATACAACAAACAATAGATTAAATTTTTTAGTCATCCTAAACTAAAAGTTTCTCAAATAAAAAACTATATCTTTTATACATTCTAGAAATTTAAAACGCGGTTTTGCAAACGAGGAAGAACAGTGAGACAAAAAAGTCTCGTAATACAAAGAGTATTGCCCATTATATCCGCACCAAACATGCTGTCAGAAAATTTCAAGACTGATGCAAATAAAAGCGACGCATCTTCGTTATGTCAAACGCAAACTGACAAAATAATAGCGGCAGACGTGAGCGAAGCCCAGGAGAAGATTTTCTTGGAAGCTCTGGAGACAAGCGGAGATGCGAAGAACACTAATTCGATTATTACCAGTGCTACTCAAATTCTTAAAGAAGGCGAACACCAGTGGTTAAACAGTGAGGTAACAGAACCACACAATCTATATAAATCTAGTAGAGATTTTTTCTTTCTTTTTTTGTGAATATTATACTCTGACTCAAGATGATTATATAGGTTGCAGATTTTTCGTTAAGTAGCTTCTTAGGGCAGCTTGAGTCACCTATGAAAGGTTCGCAAAGAAGTCAAACGGGTGAACAAATTATCGATGACGCTCGCCCTTCTTCGGATGTAATTATGCACACATAAAATTATCTACTATATGTTTTAATCTATTATACTTCTTTTTACAATTTTCTTTGCAAATGATACTTCAGGTGGTCTCACACATGCAGTGCCTCATGGGGGAAAACAGTGTGGATTACATGACGAAATTTGCAAATTTCGCTTCGCAATTGACTTCTGATGAAAATAAAAAATAGGCGTCTCGTGTATTATTTATCGGATAATTTATATGTATATCTTTGAATATATATAATTTGCAAATAGGAATTTGACGATCGTTCTTGGTAAAATAAAAATAATTTTTAAGTGTGTATATATATTTATTTAAGAGAAAAACACAACTGTGTGAACATAGTGACATAATTAACTAAGTATAAATTGAAGTGAGTTATCGAACCAATATATGTATAAACTCTAAATACGCGAAACAAGACAAACGAATGATATACAAGCAATTATTATACTTTTGTTTATAATGTGTAAGTTTTTTCTGAAAGGTATTGTCTCGGCGATAGAAAAACGCAATATCAAGTTAGCGTAGAAACTCAAACGTATGATAATTTTTACACGTATACATTGTTGTATAAATAAGTAGTATTTTATAATTTATGACAGAAATATATACAACTTTTACAAGTAATATATCTTATTATATCTTTCTTATTATGCTTCTTGAGTATTGTATGATGAACGGAGCATTTTGTTGTATGTGCAAATGATGTATTTGTATTCTTAGAATTGGTATCTACGATAATTTCTTCGAAGTTGCGGAATACACAAAATGATTCATGGTGATTACGTCTGTGCAACTACTACACAATAACATTTATACAGATCTGTGTGTAATTTGTATTAATTACACACAAGTATAATTCTGTCTCTATAAACACGCGCGCTTTTTCTTGTAAATTAATTGATTATTCAATCAACTGGATATTTCCCATTAATCGCGTAATCGTCTTGGACAAAGATGAATAAAGAATTTTTCCAAACGTACGCTTTTTTGTCTTACATGAGATTTAATACAACAACACGGACATTTATCGGAACACGAATATTTATAAATCAAAATTAAACAAGACAAAAAAATGCGAGAAATTTTGAATTCGCTGGATTAACTTCTCACATTCATGACTTTACATTATAATTGCCAAACATTATTGTATTATAAAAGAAACAAATATAGGAATGTTTCTTATAATTGTAGCATATATATGTTTGCAATCTATTGAAAAAAAACTTAGATCATGTAAAAGATTACGCTAAAACAATTATCAAGTAAAACAGTACGGAAGAAAAAATGTAAAGAAGATCGCGGCTATACCGACACTTATACATTCACAGTGTGTGCATCACAAGTACTATAAATAAACTCAATACAACATAGGCGTCTCTACTCCACAAGAGAGAGATGTATTTTGAAACTTCAAACTATTATCTTGCAATTTAACTAACAATGTGGTGTAACAAAACTATTTATATAGATACAGAACAATATTGATTCAAAGTGATTGCGATGCAAATCGTTCAACAACCGCACGCGACAACTTGAAATTAAATTCTTCTATTGTCAACACTAATTTTGTTTGAACTAGCTTTCATTTAGTAAGAAAATATGTGAGCAAAAAACAGACTGAAATTATAATTAATGAGAATTAATGCTGAATGATTATTACAAAAAATTGACAATGTGTTTTTAATGTGAGAAATAATTTTTTAAAACCGACGCCACTGAAACATAAGTAATTATTGCGTCAGCTATCGTGCCCAAGACTTGATGCGTAGCGGCGGTGATTGGCCGCAACCGCAGAGCGGGAAATCCCCGTTGAAACCTGCTCGATTGCAGTTGTATCATTGTAGCTCACGCGTCTTCAGTTCTCTGTCGAATAAAGATCACCGAAAACTTTCGTGCGCTTAGTCGCTCCGGAAATATCCAGGAAGAACGTGACAGTGTCGATGTTGATAGTAGCATCACAAAAAACATTTCCTAATCGACAATTTAAATAAAAAAAACCTATTAGCAAGATCTTCATAAATTACCGCATTTGATGCGCGTACATAAAATCGATATTGTACAGGACATTCATGATAAATTGTGTGTTGCAGTTTTCTTTTTGTGTATAGAATTTTCATTGACATTGTTACATGATATAGTTCAGATAAGTGTAGTGTTATCGCACACATAAATGGACTCGTTTAATAATTACGGTAGGAATGACCTGCCGGAGGTGAGTCTCTCTATACACACACACACACACACACACATATTTCTTAGAGTAATTTTTTTCAGTTTAGGAAATATTTTCTATCATAAAATTGTTTGAAAAAAAGCAATTCCATATTTATAAGAATCCAATTTAACTATCTATCAGAAATGTATATTGAGATTAATTTTGATTTTGTTTCTTGGGTTTCGTTTTTTAGTAAAACGAAGATGGATCATCAAACACGGATAACAGTATCTGTTGCGTTTTAATTCTAAAACTTTTCTGTGTAGATGTATCCAACATTTATCAATTTACATGAAGACGAGAATGATCATTTGCTATTGGACATGGATTCGTTAGTTCTCAGACGAAGCAATTACTTTGCAAGTCGCGGTTGCGAGCCGGCCAAGAAAAAATGTTCGCTAGGTAATAAAACTATAGAAAATGCGTATTTTGATCTCCACAAATTGTTTTTTATCACAAAAAACTTCGATACGTATCAAATCGTAACGTATTAATGTGGAGAAATTAACTATAAAAAAATAAAGCTTCTATCTCTGCGCTATTGTGAATCGCTCTCGTATTTCACATTGTTTATCTAAGAATGCTTTTTTAACGACAATTGTTGCAACGAGAAGACGAAGAATTATAGGAATAATAATAGAATAATTGATAGATTAGATTAAGGCTTTTTGTGTATTTGTTTTAATTGTTACAAGATCCATTTTAACGTACAATGAATTGGATACAAAATATGCTATGCAGAGAAGAGAAAGAGAAGAAGAGAGAGAGAGAGAGAGAGAGAGAGAGAGAGAGAGAGAGAGAGAGAGAACACTGTTCTTAATAAATTATTTAATTAAGCAGGTGATGAAAGTGAAGAGATCGATGGTACAGGATGGTCGGACAAACCCATCAGAAACTGGTGTCAAGAAGAGACAATAAATTGGCTTATGTCAGCCGCATCATACATAGGACAACCTTATAGCTCTATTCAGCACAGTCTCGCCGTATCTGGAAAAGAACTCGTCACCTTTACGCGACAAGATTTTATCAATCACGATCCCGCATACGGGGAACGACTGCACGATCTTCTTTATTCACAGCGTATATCAAATTTACGTATGTACGAACTTCAGTGATATGTTTTATATTTTTTACACAACTCTTTTGAGATTGAAATTAACGACAGATTATATTATATATATTATATTATATTAATTTTAATATTATAAATTTAAAACACTAATTTCTCTTAGTGCCATCATTTGATGCTATTTATCCGCATTCAGAAGACGAATATGCGCGAATTAGTTGCAACAACATATCTGGTAAACTTCAAAAAAAAGAAAATTAATTTTTTTACTACTAATTATTTATCTTTTGCATGTTTTTATACTTTTCTAACATTTTTTTTAGATGCAGAATCAGATAACAGCGTCGAAGTCCCAACAAAAAGATTGCCCGGCAGACCGAAGGCATTAAAAACAAAAAAAAATCGTAAGTACGATTACAAAACTTATTAAATATAAAAATTGAACACACACGCACACACACACACACACACACACATATGTATGTTATATACATATATATATATATATGTATATACAGGATGTCCAGAATTGGTGTGACATCTCTCGTAGGCAGGTAGAAGGAGTAAAACTGAGTCGAAAAATCCTGAATCATTTTCTTCTATTATTTATAATAAAGGAGTGATTGTTGAGTAAATCAGGCCAATCAGCGTTGACCTTTAGCCAGGCGCACGTCAGTGAGCCACGCGCCTAGTGTATGTAAGCGCTCCGCGCAGTTCACTGATGTGCGCCTAGCTAAAGATCGGCGCTGATTGGTCTGGCTGATTTACTCAATAATTACTCTTTATTATAAATAATATAAAAAAATGGTTCAGGACTTTTCGACTCAGTTTTACTCTTTCTACCTGCCTACGAGAGATGTCACACCAATTCTGGGACACCTCGTATATAACATATTATATATATATATACACATATATATGTTAGCGTCAAAACCCGAAGTCCGGGCAGTTTTAGAATTGACTGGTCAATACCCGAAAAAAAGGTTAGGGTTATGTTAGGTTAGGTCAGATTTTTCGGGAATTGAATTGACCAGTCAATCCTAAAACTGCCCGAACTTCGGGTTTTGACGCTAACATATATACATATACTTATGTATGTATGTATATACGTATTGTATATTGAGTTTATTTATCAAATTATAAGATTTATAATTGCATCTTTTACTTGAAGCTGCTACGCAAGGAAAATTATGGGAATTTATTAGAGATTTGCTACGCAATAGAGAAACGTGTCCCAGCTTAATCTGTTGGGAAGACTATTCACAAGCCAAGTTTCGGTTTGTAAAAAGCGATGAGGTAGCAAAACGATGGGGTTCACGAAAAGGAAATACAAAAATGACTTACGAAAAACTTAGCAGAGCTATGAGGTAATAATAATTATATATGTAATACGATCTTTTCAATAAGCTAGGAAGTAGAAAATAGTTTAATTACACATAATGCGATATTCTCTTTTAGGTACTATTACAAAAGTAAAATATTTCTTCCCGTACTCGGCCGAAGACTAGTATATCAGTTCGGGCCGAACGCAAAAGGATGGCAAACAGATAACCCCAATTTCCGACATTAAAAATAATGCTGTTTTGGAAAAGGACAAAGTTCTATCGCGTTTTTTGATCTACAATACAATGAGACGAGAAAACTAAAATATCTACGTCAAATGTTTCGAGCGATATTGTTTTTTTAACATGAACTGACAATTTTATATAACACAGTTTTTTTTCTTATTGGTCTGTTGTAATGTACTATTGTTATTATTATTATTACTATTATTGTTGTAATTATTATTATTATTATTAATGTACGTGCTATTTATATGATAGAAGTAAGGAACTTACTCGCTTTTATTAAAATTCTTGTACGTACAACTTTTTTTCTATACATCGCATTAAATATATATATTTTTTAAAAGAAATTTTATTTTCGTCTTTTTTTTGTTGTTGATGAACAATTCGACGTTGTCTTTCTTTTTCTAGACTGTAAAAACAAAAAATAAGCATTTGTCAAAATGTGAATGTAAAAATACATAAACATAAGTGTCACTTAGAGAAAAAGTTTTATATGAATGTAAATAAAATATAAATAAATTCAAAATACCTCATTTTTCAAATCTAGTTCTTTTGCTTTATCTTTCTTGGATGAGCTTTCTGTACTTGGACTGATATATTGGAAGACGAAATTTCTTGTATTCAATGGGTGAGAAACAGAATCACATTGCTTCGCAAGTGATGCTATTTTTGCTAACGATTTCTCTCCTCGATTCAAGAACGAACTTTTTTTTGTAATATTGTATATCATTTGAGACTTTTTTCCGACACTTGGTCCGTTCAACAAATCGGTAATATTTCGCGGCATAATCGGATCTATAGTTTCAGACAGATCCGCTTTACTGGGAGAAGCACTTTGTTTCTGAGACTCGGTATCCTTGATTCTTTTGAATGGCTTGAAAATTTGACTATCACATAATTCGTCTTCAAGTTTATTGTTTAAACTTTTCATTTTTTCCTCGAGAAATTTATCTCTTTCTTGTCTGAGTTTATACCATTTTGCTTCTTCCTCGTGGTCTTGCTCGTCGATCCAATCTTGTCCATCAAGTAGTTCAGACGTTTCGATGTTACTTCCTAATTTCTCTATATTCCTCCACTTGAACTTGCGCTCGCGACTCGATACATCGGTGTACAAATCCCCGTCTTCGAACAACAATTCCTTGAGTAATCTGACATTTCTTTTATCTTCGTCCAACATTTGCTTCATATGCATTTTTCCCAGTTGGTCTCTTATTTCGTGCTCGTTCAACTGTTCATTGTCACCTTCTTCGAAATCCAACTTGTCTAAGTCTTTCTCATCTTCATCGGCAGAATCCCAATCACTTTCACTCAATTCGGCCTCTTGCTCTACAAAACAAGCTGCGATCTTTTTTATATCTTTCTCCGGTACTATTACCTCATTTTCTTCAGAATCGTAGTCTACATATTGCTGTTCTTTATCGCTGTTTTTCTCGTCAAAAGATTCAGCATTCTCCTCTTCAGAATCAGATAAATTCAATCTTCTGAGCGGACGTTTTTTGAGTTTTGAAACCATATCTGTTTCATCCGAATGTTCTTCATCGTCTGAAGAAATAACTGTTAATTTCAATTCTTTATTTACCACGTTATCTTTGGTTCGTTTACCCGAGTTATCAAAATCCTTGTCTATTGTTGTTGCATTCTGAGAAGTTTCGTTTTCTGTTCTTGAATTTTCTGATTGTTTAACGTCATTGAATTGCGACGAGAAATCTTTGAGATCCAAAGCGGTGTTTTGCGTAGGTCTAAATTTACCCGAGCATAATTGCATGAGATATTCATCATCAATAGTTTCTTCGGTATCGTCAAAGAGTTTTTTCTTCACGAAAATTTTGTCTCCACTCATTTGTTCAGAAGATTTGCTAATATTTTGAATACTTTCTTTTACAAAGAAGGATTTATCATCTGAACGTTTTTCTATTTTCGACGAGTCTTTTTTAGCGGAATCTATGATGGTATTCAACACGCTCAGCTGCGTTACGGGAGAAATAAAATCGAGCATACTCGTCTTCGCGAAAGGCGTTTTGCACTCTTGAGTTCTTGTGACAACTTCTGCTTGTTGATAAACAGGCATGTCGTTTTCGTTCTTTGTTGTAATATTTTTCAAGTGATTACTATCACTTCTCACATAATTCGACACTGTAATATTTGAATCTTCGTCTTGAAAATCATGTATTGATCGCTTCGTTCGTCTATCCTCTTTATTTTTCCAAACATTGTCGTCACTTTTATTAGAATCACGCTTACTTTCATCATCCTCTATATCTGCATCTTCATTTATTTCTTCCTTTTCTTCTTTATTGATCTCCATGTCGCTTATATCGTTTTCATCGCTTATATCGCTTTCTCTTTTACGCTTGAAGTTCATGGATTGTTCACTACTATCTTCTGCATCGTTTTCAGCATACATCTCTATGTTCGAATCATCATTCGTAACTTCAGCCTCGTCATCTGCAAATAAACACACACGTCTTTTTTTTTCTTTAATTTCAACATCATTCTCCTCGAGTTCACTTTCTTCACTGTCACTGTCAATTGTGTAAAGAGGTTGTTTTTGTTCGTCTAAACTATCTCTTACCAATTCATAATCATCTTCATCTTCTTTGTTCCATTTTTCTTCATATTGCCGTTCTATTTCTTTTTGTTTCCATTCTTTGTTACGTTTCATAATCATTTGTAGTTTTAAGTCCTCTTTCAAGCGCATCAATTTGGCTCCAGGTTTACTCAATTCGGAATTATCAATGTCAATGGATATTTTATATGGAAGCGTTTCTTTAACCGGAAATGGTCCGTTTAGAGTATCCTCTAAATGTATTACAGTTACTTCAGACTTACTGTCAGGTTGTTTCTTTGTGACTGCATGTTTGCTGAAAAATCTATTCAATAAAGTATTCACATTTTTTTGGCTTGATTTCACATCTTCGGTTAAGTTAATAATCATATCTGATGATCCTTTCAATCTGACTTTAGAGTTTGATAATGATTCCGGCAGGAATCTTTTTCTATTAGTTAAAATGTCATCTGTAAATTGCGGAAGTGGCAAACCAAGAACACAACCGTTATTTTTGAAATTCTCGATTAAACAATTGATTTGAGTTTCTGATAGAGTGTCATTGATTGAAATAAAAGATGAAGATGAAACGTTATCCGTTTCATTACATTTCTCTTTACTTTCATTGTTTCCATTTTCTATTATAATGCAATCATTAGAATTTGTAGCCACATCATTACTGGTTTCAAGCGTTTCAGTTGTATGTTTAATATTCACGTTATCAAGTGATTTTGATTGTTTATTAGTTACGTCAGAATCACATTGCTGAGAGTTCGATATTTCCATTACGCGATCTATCTTATTAACTTTTGACGTTTTTTTATTAATATATTTTCTATCATCTATAGAAGTAATTACAGTTTCACCTATTTCTGGTGTTTCTTCTTGTTGATTATGGGTTACATCAGAAACTTGGTCGGTGTTATTTTCAATATTTTCAAACAATCTTCTTGATATTCTTCGATTGTCTTGCATAAATTCACTTATTTCCTGTATTGATGACACTTTAAACTTATTATCTTTATTAACGCTATTTTCTAGGAACAAGGAAGAAATTTTTTTATCTTCATCTCTTTGATCAAGATCTTTTCTAATTGATACTCTAAATGAATCAAAATCTAAAAGAGATTTATTGCTGACTCCAATTGTTTGAGAGTCTTCAAGATGTGTAAACTCGACATTCCTCGACAATACCTTCTTATCTACAACAGAAAACTGTTCGATGTTTTTCGAGTCAGAAAATACAAGTTGTGCGTCATCTTCTGAATCTGAAGATTTGTAAAAACGTTCCACTTCTTTCTCCTTCTCCGCAAGAACTTTGCTGTGTAAAATCAAATATGCAAAAAATATTCTTAGTTTATCAAATATATAAGTTGTACAGATTGTACAAATCTCAGTTTAAATATTGATTATTTAATTTAATATCAAATTAGATTTGTAAGAAATTTACATGCACATGTTTCTTACATGTATAAAACTTACCTTATTATAGTAGGAGATATTTTCAGTTTTGTAGTTGTTGAAGATGTCTTGGAAAAAGCAGCTGATAGTTTTCTCCTGTTCAAAAATTCCTGCAGTGTACGTTGCTTTGGTTTATGATATGGCAAAGAAATATCTGTTTCTCTCATTAAACGTTGGCTCTCACTGTATATCTTATGCATAGCCTCTTTTTTAGAAACTCGTATAGAATTTTGTTTCTAGAATTGATATATCAAAATACTAAATTTAAAAGATTTTATCTTACATAAAAAATTAGACCTACAAATTACTTTATGTATAGCATCAAATAAGACAAGATAAAAAAAAACAACATTTCAAAAGCAATCTATAAATACCTTCTTTTTAGATTTTTGTTTAACATTTTTATTTTCAAGTATGTTGGCATTATTATATGAAAAGAAATTTCCTGGTATTTCTTTTTTATTTTCCTCACTGTCGGAATCCAATAAACTCTGATAGCTATTGATCTATAAAAGAACAAGGATCTTAAGATATATCTACTGTCTATGAGACAAGAACAGTAATTAAATAACACAACTGAGTAACACAATTTATATTGCTTGCTTACACTATCTACAATCTTATAAATTGTTTGTGGAATGTCTTCAACATCATTAGTTTGCAAATCTTCTTCAGATTCACTGTTTATAATGTTTCTTGTTTTATTAGTCTCTAAGTTTTTCTTACAAGAAATTATTTCATCATTGGAATCTTCATCTATTAGATCTAAAATCCTTTTTGACAATGTTTTTTCATATATATTATCATTTTTAGCATCTCTATTATCATAAGCAATGTCATTTTCATTCTTTATTTTTTCATTTTCATAAGTAGTGATATTATCTTCATTAGAGCATTCACTATTTACTCCTGACTCATTTCTTCCACTACAGTTTTTACAGTTACAATCTTCTTCATTCTGTGATATAATGTTACAAATTGCATTTTTTTCGACATTTATATAATTTTTTGTATTATATGCTTCTTCAATATGACACTTTTGAACATTCTCAGAAACATTTACTACACTGTTACTGACAAAATTATTGTTTTTGTTAACATCTTCAGCAGTCGAGCAAACTTCCATAATATTCGACATTACAGTAATTATTATCGTCCTCCAGTATTTTTTTTTATGTCAAAGGAAAAAATATTACCTAAAACGGCACACACAAGATTAGTGGTTAATTGCTTTTTTTGATTCTCGGACTCATGGCGCCTAGCCATGTTATGTAAAATTATTAGAGTCCAAATTTATAAACTTCAATCACCCAAATACACGTGTAAGATGTTTACAATATGTATTGAAATATATATATATATATATATTATACGATACCTGAAACATAACGCTCTTTTCTTTCTTATTGTTAACTAATTAAGCATCAGGGGGCTCAAACTCGCCGTATTCTTTGGCTCCGGTAGTTCCAGTAGTTTGGTTCGGAGGACGGTACTCTAGGCGGCAGCACAGTCAGTTCCTCTCTCTTCCTCTCTACCCCTTGCAAACAAATTACTCATCTGATTCGTTGTTAACCTTGGGTGCTTTCCAACTACGTACACAACGCGTCACTGAATCGCGGAATAGGCGCGGGGATCGGGGAGCAAGCGGGGCGGTTGCTCGTAGCGCCAACGAGCGCCGTGCGAACTAACTAGTAGCAATCGGTTGTCCACAACTACGTCGTGTCGATAATGTAACTGCTCTTCCTTCCTATTTTCTTCTCAAAACG